ATGGCTCTGTGATGTGATCTACGCAGCAACATAGTCTAAGTACACTAAGGACATTTAACTTGTTCAATAGGCCTAAATTATTATGTACAAAATTGTATGAATTGTATGAATTTGTTCAATATTTATTAATTACTATTTAACTGTTTTAGTGTTATATATACTGTATATTATTTAATTGTTTCTATTGTTCATGGTGACTCTAATATTGTTTATATTGTGTTAACTGTCGTTTATTTTTACATGAATAAAAATACTTAAAAAATACTTAACCACGATTTTGTCGATGGCTTTAGGAGCCCTTTTACAAAATTGCGCCGCTGCCGTACTGATCGGCGCGTAGGTAGATTTGCACTGGTATATATTGCATTTTCGGGTGATGTTTCGAGTGTTACAATAGTATATTTCATTACTAGTACGGAATGGTTGTCATTGCAAAGAGTTCCGACAAATGTCTACCCGAGCCGAAGGCAAGGGTTGACAGTCGGAACGAGTTGCAATGACGGTTCCGTACGTGTACTGAACGACTATTTTTAATACAGTTGCGAAAAAATGAAGCAATTTAATCAAATTATAAAAACACAATAAACTCAATTAACTAATCATTTATTTCTCATAAAAGTTATAATTCACATTATACATTGAAATTGGTACAGTTTTTTATACTAACTGGGGAAGTTTTACGTTGCATATTTACTGTTTGAGACAAACTATTATTAATTTCGTATGATTGTTCATGTATATTTGTCATACAATGGCGTTTGCTAGTTGATGGAATTGGATCTGATGAATTATCATTATCAACGAAGGTACTCGTAGATGGACGAACGTTCTCTTCAGCATGTGAAGGAGACGGACTGGACCTTAAATTAATGGATTGTGTGATCTTTTTCCCAGTTTCTAGTTTGTTGTTTAATGAATCACCAATATAGCTTTCTGCAACTTTGTCCGATTTCCAACCACCTAGTCGCTTTAAGGACGTCAAATTGGCTCCTGAATCAGCCAATAATGTAGCAGAGGTCCTTCTGAAGCTGTGCCCAGTATAACACTCAGCATCCGGCAGACCAAGAAACGTAGCTATTTCTTTTGGCATATTACCAAATTTGTTTATGCCGATTACTTGAGCTGTACACTTCCCTTTTTGGAAATTTTGAAAAAAAACGGTCGGAATTTCCTTTTTGGGACCGCTGGTTCATATATTTTTTCACTATTGTGAGAAAATCTCCTTCAACAACAAAGCTTCGCGGTATCTTATTTTTTGTGTTTGAAATCTTGATAAGTAGCATTTCTCCATGGGCTTCAATATCTTTTAAAGTAATATTGGCTAACTCCTCTCTGCGGCAAGCTCCAACAACGCCAAAAATCAGAGCAACCTAAAAAAAAACGATTTGATTCATATAAATAATGTATTGACTGTATTTTGCGATTTTGTAAACTGAACACTAAAGAAAAATGTAGATATGTATACTTATTAATAAATTACCTTTGTGGCTAAATAACAATCATCGGGAAGCTTCTTTCAAAAACCTTTCCACGTCATTTGATGTTAATATTTTCGACTTTTTACTGGTAAACCCGTCTGATTGTCGTTTTAAGAAAGAATTTAATTTTGGATATTGACTTATATCCACGTTGTTCCTTCTTTTCAGCATACTTTTTATCATCGAAAACGTTGACCATAACGTAGAAGGTTTTAATTTTGCTGAGAGTTCGGAAAAGTATGCCAACATAACATTTTCTGAAAAACTATTTGCTTTTTTCTCTTCTTTCCACGCAATAAATTCATCGTATGTAGATATGTAGCGAATTTTTGACTTTTCCGGTAAAATGTTTTCCGAAGCATTTTGTGCAATTATACTGAGTTCCGGTGGAGTTAATTCAAAAAAATTTAGGTTGAAATTACTCATTTTGTGTAAAAAACAACTAAACTCGCAAAGAAAATTTCGGAAAATGGCGCCAACCGTAGAATGTAAGCAGTTTTTTTTTCACCCATTCTGGTAGGCAATGGGAACTGCCCATACAGCCAAGTCTTTAGTACTTAGTATTTTTTATTATAAGAAATGAAATTGAAATTTAATGATATGAAATGAACTGAAACCTTACCTAACTCATTCAATCAATTAATTAATTCTGATATTGGACAAATTAGTATAGGTAGCTTCTTTTTAAAAACAAATAAACCTATTTGCATGAATCGCAAAAACTTCTATGATTTTTTTTAGTTAAAACTTAATGGTTGTTTTTTTTAATAGAAATAATTTTGACAGTTGGGAAAGAAAACGCACGAGTTCGGGAAAGGCAAAAAAAAAGCACGAGTGTGAAATAGCCCAGATCCCGAACGCTACACGTCCCTGCAATACGCCACTTTTTGAGCAACTGTATTAAAAAATAACTAGCGGCCGCCCGCGACCTCGTACGCGTGGAGTTAGTTATTTGCACATACTTTTTGACCCCAAAAGGGGGTTCATTTCTAAAGATTCGTTATTAGTACACCTCTACACCATCTATAGAGCATACATGTTAAATTTCAAGTCTCTTACTTCAAAAATATAGGACTTTCATACAAACTTCCAACCCCCGTATTACCCCCTTAGCGATGGAGTTCGTGAAAATATGCAGCCTATAATATGTTGACCCGTCTTCTTAATAATATTCGTGCCAAATTTGAAGTAAATCCATGCAGTACTTTTTGAGTTTAGCCCGGACATACATACAGACAAAAATTCTAAAAACTATATTTTTGGCTTCGGCATCGATTGTAGATCACACCCCAAGTATTTAAAAAAAAATGGGTGCGTGTACTTATGTATGCGCGTGAGAAGTTCTCCTTTGGCATCGTTTAAAATTAGTTTTTAATTGCATGCAAATAATTAATTACAATAAATTAATAAAAAGTCTGGAAAAGGACACAGTCAATAAAGTTCAGTTTTAATTTGAAAAAATAAATAAATAATCAAAATATTCAATTAAAATCGCTACTGAATATAATTTATTAGAACATATGTGATTTGCACTTGTATGAAACTCAAACACGTAATCCGAATATACAAACTAGAAACATGTGGATAAATATTATAAATATGAATACCTATAACTGTTACTTTATTACAAAAAATAAAGATGTGGTTTTTGGTTCTACTACACCAATGTTCAAGAGATGGCGCTGTAGTCTCCTGAATCGCACTTTGGTTCCGTTGTTCATGATTAATAAATACTTTTTGTTACTTTATTACAAAAAATAAAGATGTGGTTTTTGGTTCTACTACACCAATGGTCAAGAGATGGCGCTGTAGTCTCCTGAATCGCGCTTTGGTTCCGTTGTTCCAGATTAATAAATACTTTTGATAGGCCTTCACAATGCAGTCGTTAGCAGAGCACCCACTAAATAGAGATTCTATTTCTATTTTGTTGGTAGATTTTCTTAATGTGCGGTAAACACAAAAGTAAAAAAAAATTGTGTTACAGTGATGCGCGCGCATCTTAAAATTTCACTCTCATCATTTTTTCATAACGCGCCTAAAGAAGTATAACTTCAAAAATATTCAATGTACAGTTTTGACTTTCCTACCATTTTATTATATGTATAGATTATTTATTAATGCACTAATTATAAAAATAAATACATATTATTTCAGTAGTTCAATAATGGTAGATTAGTTTTATGAAAGTTTTTGATAGTAATTCTACTTAACTATATCAAAATACAAAGTAAACCTGCATTGTTTTTTAGGAAAACTCACGGAGGTTAGGTGTTTTTTTTATACTTAATGAGATGGAAAATCAAAATTCTAATACATTATGTTACAACAAAAACATATTTCTGATGTCGTAGTAATTAATTTGATCTAATTTATTGAACATTATTGAGAGATTGAGGCGTTTGAAGTTGTGCATATTATCGTTTTTTCCGTAAACTAGCAACAGTAGAACGATCAGTACAAAAAAGGAAAATAGTACCTATTTGAAAATATTCTACATTAACTTACAATAAGAAGACTAAATGTTCTGTTTACTTCTATTGGAAATAGCCAAAATCTTTTCTAAGGGGGTAAACGAGGCGCTTAAAAATTACGATTTCTTGCAAAAAATGTGGAAGGGCTCTTGAGCTGTAACTTGGTTGGATATAGCTTCCCCACGATCGAGTGGAGATCGCAAGAAGCAGCGGGATGTGAATATCAGAAGAACATCGGTGTGGAGATCCTTGGAGGAGGCCTATGCTCAGCATTGGGCGACGCGCGACGTACGGCTGGTATGGTGATACAAATTATAACCAGTCTGTTTTCCAGAAATATATATCCGTTAATTACTTACTGATTAAGGTTCGATTTGCAACCTTTCGGCGTCCTTAGATCTTCAATTCGTGTTATAGTTGTTTGACAGTCCAATCGCGAGAGTAGAGTTGCAAAAAAAGGCCTGAGGTACTACAAAGTCAAATTGCTAGGAGTACTTTTATTTTTAGTCAAAACAATTTCATAATATTCCGCAAGAAAAACTTATGATGTTACAACAGTACCCTAAGCAGGAACTAATATCGAATTCGCAACGTATACGTACGAAATGTCATTGTCAAATGTGTACTGATTTTTAGTTCTCGTTACGTCCGTTGTAGCGTTGCTGTTCAAGTTTCCATACAATATTTGACAATGACATTTCGCACTCGCCATCTATTCGAATTCGATAGTGGTTCGTGCTAAGGGATACTTTTACTTTGCTACGGATTACTTTTTATGGGTCTAAAATAGATATATGGGTCTGACGGATGTAACGCCATCTTTAATGAGGACTGCGTTTTCTTCTATAATTAATAGACTTGCAACGAATATTCGGTTACTATTCGGGATTCGGCCTATTCGGCTGTTTATTTTATATTCGGCCAAATACCGAATACTTAATTAATATATTTTGTCATAGAGAAATAATTGGTACAATGAAAAATTAAAATCGATTGATTACGTATATATTAATATTTTCATTTCTGTTATATAATCATTTAAGTAGTCATTGGTACATAACACAGGCACATAATCATCTTCTGAATTGGAAAAATGGGGGATTCTATGTATTTGAATTATTGTGGTAATCAAAATTTCTCATTTCTTTTATAATCATTTATTAAGTAGTCATTGGTACATAAAACAGATACATAGTTTAATCATTTTCTGTATTAAACAAGTTAACAGTATTTAATTCATTCAGTCATGTGATGAATGGTTACATAATAGCAATAATTTAAAGTATACGCGCCGATATTGGCCATATCTCAAAAGTTGGTTTTGTCATTTAGCCGCATTTTAGCTTGACGACGGCAGATTAGAATTCGGTCAGGGGCCTCGCCGAATATTCGGTATACTGCCGAATATAGTATTCGTTGCAAGTCTAATAATTAATAATTTGCAACACTAACACTCGCGACAGCCGCCCTTGGTTTTACCAGAAAAGAAAACTAGGTTTGCCCCTGCAGCGGCGTAAACATCAGGGAAGCGTTTTACAACACTTGTCAAAATGGCGTCTTTTTGACATATTGTGCTCTTTGTTAAAAGAAATGCCCCATTTAAAATATCAAAGCAGTGCTCTAAGAAGCAATACACTCCCGGCGCTGGTGCGATAGCGAGATAACAAAGGATGCCATTTTGCATTAATAACAATGGGTTTAGCACCATCCGCTTCGGTGGTAGATATTCTAGTGGAGTGAATGAAACTCTGAAAGTAAAATATAACTTTATTTACAAAATTTAAATGACATCTCTATTACACATACGCGGAAAATTTATAAGAATATATATCACTATTTTACAAGTTACATTATCACGATATATTCACATTATCGTTACCTATTTTTTATAGCGAGGCAGGTAAATGACTCTACCCCTCCTGATTTTAAGTGGTGATAAAGTCCAAACGCGAAGATAGCTGGTGCAGTTATAAATTGCTACAACAACCATCCTCACCTTGCTGACTGTTAAAGGACCCCAGATTGTAGGAAGTTTGATTATATACACACCTAAATACCGTATTAACTGCACGAAAGCGGCCCAAAAATATCTGCTAGGTACATATCTTAGATACGCCCATCGCTACACAAACACAATTGACAGCTTTCAAACAACTTACATAAGAGCACACATTGTGCGTAACAAGAGACGTTATCTTTGCGTGGTTTATTGGGGTTGCTCTATCTAGGCGTGTAAGTCTATAATCAAAGATCGGTTACATTACATACTATTTGTAGAGTTTACCAAAATTTGATAAGAACAAAGGGTAACTGGATTCCTATCTTAATTTTATATACTTAGGTATTTTTACAAAGACAAAGCTGTCTTTGCGCTCCTTAAAAGTTATAAAATACTATTCACTGCAATCTATCAAATCACAAATTGCACGTTACATGATGCACATAGGACGAAACATTTCAAAGTTTAATAAGAATAACAAAGGAAAATGTGGTCTCTCAGTCTTTTTTTTATTTATTTTTACAATAAAAATCTCTCTTTGTGCTTTTAAAACAATGCATATAATACATATTAAAAACTAGCGGCCGCTCGCGACTTCTACCGCGTGAAATTTTGTTTTTAGAGAATACCTCGGGAACCTAAATTTTTTTCGGGATCAAAAGTAGGTATCCTATGTCTCAATCCAAGTAATAAACTAAATATGTGCCAAATTTCCTTCAAATCCGTCCAGACGTTTTCGCATGATTGAGTAACAAACATACAAACACGCAAACTTTAACATCCTACTATTATTATAAATGTGAAAGTTTGTGTGTTTGTTACTCAATCACACAAAAAGTACTGATTGGATTCGGATAAAATTTGGGGCACTAATAGTTTATGACCTGGTTTGAGACATAGGATACTTTATTTTATCCCAGAGAAAATATCAGGTTCCTGAGGAATTTTCAAAAGACTAAAGTTTACGCAAACGACGTCACAGGCGGCCGCTAGTTTATAATGTAGGTAAGGATACCTTGTAGGTATTGACAACATTTAATCACAAAATTATATGTAACTTTTGTTTTCTCACATAAATACAATCTTGGATAATGACGACAACGATACGGAGTAGTTATTAGTGAACAATTACATAAGAAAATATCTTATTACGTCAGAGTACTCTTGGTCTAAGGTTCGAACCTAAATCGACCTTCACCGAGCTGATAATAGAATAAAACATATTTTATCATGAATATAGTATATTCAACATTTTCTTGTTATCGTGATATAGCATAATATTTTTTTACAAATATTTTATTTAATTAATTAAAAATTGTCTGTCCAGGATTTTTTAGGCAACCAATTTTTAATATATTTTGTAATATAAAGTCATGATAAAATATGTTTCATTCTATTATCAGCTCGATGAAGGTTCGGATCTTCTACTATCTAGCGCGAATTATCTCTTGAATACATCGGTTATTGTAAAATACTAACAATTGTTAATTTAAATACAAAAACAATCGACAGCAGACCACGTTTCTTTAACCTTTTAATTTTATGATTGCACGTAAACAAAATTATTTAAACTTTAACGTAAACATAACTCATTTATCTTTGGGGATACTTACATTTCACACTTTGACCTACATTTATTATTATAAAAATATACATTTAAAAAAGGATAGTATGCATTATCTTTATTTTAATATTTAGCAAGATTTTTCGTTTGTTTTTGATATGGCTGATAGAATACAAATATTGATGATGTTACAAATCAACACTGCTACTCGCCTAATGCATAAGAAAACTGTCACCTTAGGCTGAGCGCAGATTAGAGTCACGACAGTTGTTAGACAATCTTGTCTTACATAGACGAGACAGTTTTACAATTAAAGAGAAACAGTTGTGTCTACCACAAGGCACACACTAAGACGAAACTGTTTTGTCTACGATGCGACACACACCATTTTCATCAGTATCAGAATAGATTTCACCGATTATTTATTTTATAGAAATTAAGGCACCAGCCCAGAAAGTTTTACCAGTAATTTCGAATGAATGTATCAATCTATCTTTGATAATTTGTCAAAATTTATGGACCCACATATTACTTATTTTATCGTATGTATTATACTTTCTTTCAGTATCGATTATCATCCCTAATCGCTAGACAATTTTGTCGTTGGTGTGCGCCCTCGCATACATTTCAAAGGGAAGCGGATAGTCGTTAGTCAGACTTGTCGCTTTGCAGTTCTTGTGTACATAAGACTTTTTTGTCTATGAGACGTCTCGTTTCGAATGTGCGCATCTTCATAATTTTTGTTAAGCAATAGTCTGTCTTGAGACTGTCGTGACTCTAATCTGCGCTCAGCCTTAAAGTACAAGTGCGACTTTGGTCAGACCCATGGTCACATTGATATATCACAATGTATCTATGGTCAGGGGCGTAATAACCCTTGAGCCAAAAGGGCGACTAAATACAATGACTGGTCCAAAATATGTTGATTCCAATTAGCGCTACTACACATATAAATAGTGTGCTTATGACCACTCGACTGAAGTGAAACTTCTTTAGCTCCATATATATATACTAGCGGACCCGACAGACGTTGTCCTGTCTACACGTCTTTGTGAATCTAAACCATTCTCAGATCCCCTTGAACACACACAAAAAATTTCATCAAAATCGGTCCAGTCGTTTAAGACAAGTTCAGTGACATACACACTCACAGAAGAATTATATATATAAAGATATACATATTTCATTTACTAGCTATTAGAGAAAGTGAGAAAGAAAATGTGCGCGCGCACTGCTTTCTCTTGCTTATATCCCCCACTCAACTCCCGTTCGCATCGCACGAACACACTTTTCGTAACGCGTAACGCATTCGCCTACCCCAAGTCAAGCGTGCGTAAAGAAGTTTCACTTCAAAAATACATCTAGAATTCAACTTTTTTTGCGCCGATCACGAATTACTCTGTAAAGTTAACGCGCTCATTAGAACATTATCACAGTCTGGTATGGATTATTGGTATCGTTACTGGTTGACTTAAACTAAATTAAATTCTATTAATTTTGCAACCGACTGAGTTTATCTTTGTATGCAGGTAGTTCTACGTCGTCCCAATGAAGTGTGACTTTATCGAAAAATCTGAAAGGACAAAGTTACGTTTTATTTGATGTATGAAGTATTTATTTCAACGATATAGGTACCTGGCAGGTATTTTTTTATAGCAAACAGTTTTTTTATGACAAAAAAGGCGATACTTAAATGACAAAAGTGTTTTACTACGGTCAGAAAATAGATTGATACTTGTTTATGTTTATTAGTTCCAATTGACCACAGTAAAGAAAAGAATTGGCTGCACATTTATTAAATTTAATAATGTAGAATATAATTTACTGCATAACATTCACAATTAAATATCGATGAAAATAATAATTTTGATTGTACATACTTATATTCTTCCTGAGATAAAAAGAAGACGCGGGAGTTGGCGACCATCGCTGAATATCAGCGATATTAGACCGCGTCTGCCCGTCGATGTCTGCGGCTGCCCGCGCCGCGTACACAAAGCACTCGACGGGCAGAGGCGGTCAGTTCAGGACGTTCGTTCTACTGAATAGTCCATCACTAAAAAGCGCGTGGCGCGGACTGAGCTGACCGCCCCGCGCCGCCGTCTGCGTTACTGCCCGCCGGGCACCTGCGGCGGTGTCCGTGATGCTAGCGTACCCACGATCAATATACGGTTTTTCGTTATGCCATTAAATACTGCGTAAATAGTGCCAAATTAGTGTAAAAATAAAAAAAATAGTGCCTCTTTAATTTAAGAAATAAAGACCATTTTTACTGTGTACGCTACCATGACGTCAAGCTAGCGTACCCATGGCCGACCCCAAGAACGGCATATATTTAAGCAACGAAATTGACACACAAAAATAGTTCGCAAATAGTGCCCTGGCTTTACAAAATTTCATAATCAATACTCTTAAAGTACCAAAGATATTGAACTAAACATTCTTAGCTGGCGTCAACCTGGCGTACCCATAATAGTTCTCATAGAAAATGAACTTTTATCGTTATCAATTCTATATGTATAAATAGTGTGTCAAATAGTGGCTCTAACAGTAAAAGTATTTTATGTGAATCCGCATCACAACAATACATAAAAAGAATCTTAAATTCTAGGAACAAATGTATTGTAGTACAGTTGCACACAAAATTAATTTATGCACTAAGAAATTATCTATATATGTATTTTTACTAAAATAAATAGGTACTTTTTATAAAAAGATATTTTATTTCAATTCGAATTCACCAATCATAAATTGATATAAGAATTTCAACCTACCTACTAAGTACCTTACTTACCTACTATACTACGAAAATATTATCACTTCTGTACATGACTGTACTTTATATATAAAAATAATTTAATTGCTTTTTTTATATTGTTTTACTGTGAATTCACATAAAATACTTTTACTGTTAGAGGCACTATTTGACACACTATTTATACATATAGAATTGATAACGATAAAAGTTCATTTTCTATGAGAACTATTATGGGTACGCCAGGTTGACGCCAGCTAAGAATGTTTAGTTCAATATCTTTGGTACTTTAAGAGTATTGATTATGAAATTTTGTAAAGCCAGGGCACTATTTGCGAACTATTTTTGTGTGTCAATTTCGTTGCTTAAATATATGCCGTTCTTGGGGTCGGCCATGGGTACGCTAGCTTGACGTCATGGTAGCGTACACAGTAAAAATGGTCTTTATTTCTTAAATTAAAGAGGCACTTTTTTTTTTATTTTTACACTAATTTGGCACTATTTACGCAGTATTTAATGGCATAACGAAAAACCGTATATTGATCGTGGGTACGCTAGCATCACGGACACCGCCGCAGGTGCCCGGCGGGCAGTAACGCAGACGGCGGCGCGGGGCGGTCAGCTCAGTCCGCGCCACGCGCTTTTTAGTGATGGACTATTCAGTAGAACGAACGTCCTGAACTGACCGCCTCTGCCCGTCGAGTGCTTTGTGTACGCGGCGCGGGCAGCCGCAGACATCGACGGGCAGACGCGGTCTAATATCGCTGATATTCAGCGATGGTCGCCAACTCCCGCGTCTTCTTTTTATCTCAGGAAGAATATAAGTACAGTAGAACGCCGATTATCCGAATTAATTGGGACCGGGGTCGATTCGGCTAATCGGACATAGACTGGTAATTAAGAAAAACGAACTGTCACACATAGAATAAACCTTATAAGTTTAACAAACACAGTTCTACAATACTACATACAATAATAGAGGTAGGTTCGTAGTAGCAAAAAAAAACCGCTCCTCCACCCAAAACATGTAGTGTCTTGCCTCTAGCTTTCAACCATAACAGAAGAAATATATCTGGACTCCAGCGAGTTCCAACTTGTAACAACAAAACAAAAATATATGCCATTCTTGGGGTCGGCCATGGGTACGCTAGCTTGACGTCATGGTAGCGTATACAGTAAAAATGGTCTTTATTTCTTAAATTAAAGGGGCACTATTTTTTTTATTTTTACACTAATTTGGCACTATTTACGCAGTATTTAATGGCATAACGAAAAACCGTATATTGATCGTGGGTACGCTAGCATCACGGACACCCTGCGGCGCGGTTTTTTTGCCCTCTGTGTGCGTTTGTAGTATAGGATTCACTTTGTGCTATTATTCGCGGCGAAATTGACCGGCCCGCCCCGCCCCGTCGTCTGCAAAGCGCCTGACAGTTGAAAAATATCTGAACTCCAACGAGTTCCAACTTGTTAGAATAAAACAAAACAAAAAAAAACTTGGTTTTCTTTTTTTATACACAGTCAGGTCATAAGTATTGTCACACAGTAAAAACTTTTCTTTTAGAATCATCATCATCATCATCATCAGCCTATTAATGTCCCCACTGCTGGGGCACAGGCCTTCCCTATGGATGGAATAGGGAGATTGGGCCATGACCCACCACGCGGGCCCAGTGCGGATTGGTGGGTGCTAACGACTGCAAATGCAGCCGGGACCAACGGCTTAACGTGCCTTCCGAAGCACGGAGGAGCTCGAGATAGTAAATTTTTGGTCACCCATCCAATGACCGACCACTGCGAAAGTTGCTTAACTTCAACGATCGCAGCCGAACGCGCTAGCCACCTGCGCCATCGAGCTCCTCATCTCTCTTTTAGAATGCTGGCCACAAAAAAGTTTATTGAATTCGAATTTCGAATTGTTCATGAAAAATAAAAATGTATACTTTTTAGAAGTTTACTCATTTTTAAATATGGACTGGACGCTTAAAGAAGACCGTGTTGCAGTTATTGCATTGCATCGTTGCGGTTACGCGCCAATTCAAATATTTGACATACTGAAAATTTTGAATATAACCAAAAGATTCGTTTATCGTACCATCAAACGATACAATGAAGACTCAAGACAGGTCAAGAAGTGGTCGCCCTCGGTCTGTTAGGACTCTAGCAGTGATAAAAGCTGTGAAGGCGCGAATTCAAAGAAATCCCAAACGTAAGCAGAAACTGTTGGCCCTTCAGATAGGGTTAAGCAGAATCACGGTGAAAAGGGTGTTAAATGAAGACTTAGGGCTTCGGGCATATCGAAGAAAAACAGGACATCGTTTGAATGCTCGTCTAATGGACCTGAGACTGAAGAGATGCCGCGCTTTGTTGAAGCGGTACGCGGGAAAAAATATCGGGAAATTATTTTTTCGGATGAAAAAATATTTACCGTAGAAGAGAGCTACAACAAACAAAACGATAAGGTGTACGCACACAGTAGTGAAGAAGCGAGCAACCGTATTCCGCGTGTCCAACGAGGTCATTTTCCATCCTCGCTCATGGTATGGTTGGGAGTTTCTTATTGGGACTTAACAGAGGAACATATTTGTGAGAAAGGTGTAAAAACGAATGCAGTTGTGTATCAAAATACAGTCCTGACGAACCTTGTGGAACCTGTTTCTCATACCATGTTCAATAACAGGCATTGGGTATTCCAATAAGATTCGGCGCCAGCTCATAGAGCGAAGGGCACACAAGACTGGCTGGCGGCGCGTGAAATCGACTTCATCTGGCACGAAGACTGGCCCTCCTCCAGTACAGATTTAAGTCTGTTAGATTACAAGATATGGCAACACTTGGAGGAAAAGGCGTGCACAAAGTCTCATCCCAATTTGGAGTCACTCCAGACATCCTTGATTAAGGCAGCCGTCGATATTCACATGGACCTCGTTCGTGCTGCGATAGACGACTGGCCGCGCAGATTGAAGGCCTGTATTCAAAATCACGGAGGTCATTTTGAATAAACTTTATGGTCATAAAAATCTGTTTTGTTAGGGTAATTTTGGTATATAAATGGTTACATAATGAATAAACTTGTTTCAATTATTTTATATTAAACATGTGACAGAATTTATGACCAGGACTAGGTTTACGCTTTGGACCGATTCGGTTAATTGGCGTTCTACTGTACTACGTTTCGGAGATAAGGGTGAATTTGCTTTGTTATGTTTTTGATTGACTCTTCGATGCGCTTAAACTCTGCGATAGTACGAATTGACCATTAGTGAATTAATACAAACCTATTTTATAGATGATAATTATAAATAAATATTGTTTATTTTTTACGTATCTTATTTAACCAATTTTCGATAATTGGTACTTATAATGGCGGAGGGTTTATCACCCAAAAAGTGATAGACCGGCTACTCGGACTGTAAGTTTAGACTGTGAGGTTAGTTACCGTGGTCTATGATGCCTGTAACTAGTGTTGTCAGGTCCGATTTGTTTTAAATCGGTACATGAGGTCAAAACAATCGGGATTTAGGGTTGCAGATCGGGACAGTAAACAAAAAACACGAGGGGTTTTTATGTCTGGCTTTAATTTATTGCGTTTTAAACTACTAGTGCAAGTATATTATTATATCAATTACCTAAATTTTTTTTTTAATAATCGGTACATTTAGCGTCCCGATCGGGTACAAATCGGGACGCGTCCCCAGACCCCTGAAAATCGGGACGTACCGCGCAAATCAGGACATCGGGAAACACTACCTATAACGCTAAGAGTATCATTCGCAAGATAAGGTCCGTTTGTTAAAGAGTTATAGCTGATTTTCCGCTCTCATTAGAGCGCCCAGGGAAGTAACCTCCACCTTACAGAATACCACAGTTAAATAACACTCATCATCATCAGCCTATTAATGACCTCACTGCTGGGGCACAGGCCTGCCTTATGGACGGAGTAGAATAGGATAGATTGGGACATGATACACCACGCGGTCCTAGTGCCGATTGGTGGGTGCTAATGACCGCAGATGCAGCCGGGACCAACTGCTTGAAGTACCTTCCGAAGCACGGAGCAGCTCAGATAGTTAATTTGTGGTCACCAATCCAATGAACGACCGCGGAAGTTGCTTAGCTGCAACGATCGCAGCCGGACGCGCTAGCATTTTGCGCCATAGAGCTCCTCCAAAAACTAATGCTAATGTTGTTTTCTGTCGGTTAGTAAGGGTCCAGGGCTACTGTAGGAGATTGGGTCATGAGGACGTTGCGATTGATAGCTTTGGTATTACAAGGGTCTATATATCTATAGGCTATAGAAAGATGTTAGAAGTGTGATTATAGACCGTTTGTAAGAGGAACCGATGTCGCTGGATGGCCCCCACTAAAATTCCACCTAATAGATAATAGCCAATCAAACGACACGACTTCAAACAATCGAATCAATCAGCGCTCATATCCGAGAGCAACGACGCAATCAGAGCCAAGTTTTCGTCAAGTTATGAGCATTTGCTCATACAAGACTGTGGCGCGCCTGCTTCGCCCACAAGGCCCTAATTACCACATTCTGTGTTGTGTGAATTGAAAAAAATATTAAATAAAATTTTACCTCATTTGCAATTCCGCGAGCACTTGCTTTTCATTTTCGCTCAATCCTTGCTCCATTACATCGATGGTGTCGATTAATTGCTCCACGTTGTAGAAACCACAGACATTCGTATCTATATCCGGTTGATTTAGGGTATACCAGGTGGCTATCCTAGCGAGTTCCACATTTCGCTCCTGCAGAACATATTATAGAAAACATGTATTTACTATAAATACTAATATTATAAATGCGGGAGTGTGTGTCTGTTTGTTACCTAGTCACGCTTAGACAGCTGAACCATTTGAGATGAAATTAGCTATAGATTTGGTTTGAGTTGCGGGATAGGACATAAGATAGTTTTTGTACTAGGAATCACCCTTTAAGGGGTGGAAGTTTGTATGAGAATATCCAATTTTTCCACACAGACGATGTTTCCTAAGGGACTTAAATTTTTGGTACTAGGCTTTGTGGATAAACCTAATATTAGAAGAGGTTATAAGTAGGACTATCTAATGATCACGAAAATCCGTCGTTTACTAAGATAGGTTTACCCAAATCTACCTGCGATTCACTAATAAAAGATAATATAAAATGACAAGGTTTGTTTAATTGTTTATAGAAAGCTAAACAAACATATTGTACCGACCGACGTGTGCGCATTAAGCTAGGGACAAACTGAGCCCACGTATGCAACGTATGCTACGCATTATGACATCTAAACTACGAAATTTGTATGAAAACATAGGACTTGGAAACACACTTGTCATGTGCATGCGCGTCCTATGCAACGTTCGATCTGTCGCGCCAGATCGGCGTGGGAGCGTGGAGGGGTTAACGAGTTGTCAGCCGCTCGGACCTTAGGCTTCTTTAACGAGTAGTCAGCCGCTCGGAGAGAAGTACCAGTTAGTACTTAAGAATGTAGGGTTAAGGTAGAGAAGACCATTAGGGTAGTCTTAGGTAAAGGTTAAAGTAAAGGCTTTAGTTGCCTTTAAAGAGGTTAAGTAAGGTAGAGCACTGGAGAAAAGTACTCTATAGAAAGATAGAGGTAAATGTTAAAGGTTAACGTCTTTTATAGATGTTGAGAAAGCTTAAGAGCTTTAGGGTAAACAATAAAATATTAAATTTAGAGATGCTGATTTGAGTGATAAATGAATGAATGGTTATGAATGAATTAATGCGGTGAACGAGGTATGAGTTTTAGATTTTAATATCTTTGATATGCCATTTACGAGTAGCTTTAGAGCCATTGGTATCTTCTAATAAATATGTTATGGGCCTAGTGATTAATGCGGGCATTATTCATAATGCCCGGGCGGTATGAATAAACCCAGCCATATCGGGCCAAGTGATTTATTACAATCTAAACTCACCTATTTATCTCCATTGCCCGGTCATTATTAATAATGCCGGACGGCTCGTGGTCCATGTAATAAGTCAGTCTTTGAGATAACTTGAATTTATCGCTTGGACCGGGCAGTATGAATAAATTCAAATAGTTGGTACTATTGTCAACATGACAGATGTCTCGCCATTTTGTGTTTGTTTTGAGATCTTGGCAAATAAAAAATAGAATGGGCTCAACACTTAGAAAAAATTCTGAACATGTAACAGATTTAATGAATTTTTCAAACAAACTGCATTGAAACTACTATAAAGTATAGTTTCTAAATGTAGCCCTTCGTAAATTGATCGAAGTAAAACGGAAGTCTGATTATTTAAATTTTAAAAATAGATACTAAACTACAAAACATGTTTTTATTATTACTCTACCCGATAATTGATTTCATTACTTGTAATGCTCGGTCTATCTAACTAAGTATTCATTTGAAAGTATTAAACATGCTTTATATCACTCTGCCCAATAGGTACTTGGCATTATTCATAATGCCCGGGAAATTTAATAAATTGATTGGTTATAATCATATTGCCCGCTCTTATTGAGCATAATCATATTGCCCGGACATTATGAATAATGCCCGATTAATCACTTAGCCCATAACATATACACCACAGAGATGTTAAAGTACTAAAGCTTTTGTTTCTGATATCTATGATATACACTAAAAGCGAGATTTACTTAACAACTTTACATTTTAGAAATTTAGGCGCGAGTTTAGCGCTTAATAAGAATCTGCATTACTTTGTACAAACTTCTTTCGCCAAACCATATCGTCGACATTAAATTCTTTGAATGAGCGACGTAGGTTATAGCGTGCACTGTTTTTAGCGTGAGCAAGTTCAAAGTACCTCATACCTTATGAGGTACTTTGAACTTTGTCGAAAATAGATGAGAGGAATCCAGCATTTTCAGAGTAAATATCGCGAGGTAGAAAGGTAACTTCTTCGATACTTCGAGCTGAGGTATAAAAAGAGCCGCAGGGAGTTGTTTCACGACCAAATGCCAAAAAGTTAGGCGTATAACCAATTATGGAGTTCACACAACTGTTCATCGCCTGTTGGATTTTAGGGAGGTGCCTATCCCACTTCCTATGGTCGTTACCTACGAGGACAGCGAAAGCAGTAATAATTGTTCTATTGTACCTTTCAGTAGGGTTTACTTGAGGACAGTAGAATGAAGAACGAAATATAAAAGGAATTTTATATTTCTTTAAGAAGGAAATGAATTCACGAGACTGGAATTGGGGTCCGTTGTCCATAATAATGGTCTGAGAGACTCCATGTGTTAGAAAAACCGAGTTCTCGAGAGAAGATATTATATTAGGCGTGGTAGCACGCTTAAGGGGAAAGATTAAAGTATATTTAGTAAAACAGCAGTTAATAACTAAGATGTATTGATTACGATTTCTAGTCATGGGTAGTGGACCAATAAGATCAAGTGATATAGTCTGGAAGGGCCTAGAGCATATTTTTCGTTTGCCCATTGGTCCGTAGGGTGAATGGTTTGTATGTTTATACGCCAGGCATGTGTCGCAGTTAGAGATAAATCTGGCAATGTCCTTAAACATACCAGACCAGTAATATCGTAATGATTTTTTTTTGTAAGTTTTAAAGATACCTAGATGAGGTTTAAGTTCAGAGTCATGGTTAGTTTCGATGACCCTACATCTTTCATGAGGTAAAGGAACTTCTTTCCAAATGAAGTCATCATTGAGGCTATTTGGAGAATGAATACAACGATAAAGTTTGTTGTCTTTAATAGAATAGGTGGTCTTGGCGCGGCTTGGCCGGCGCATGCCCTTGGTGCCATTCGGCATAGGCCACCCTGTCTGGGGATTGCCTAGTACCCTAGCGCAATTCCCCAGAGGCGTGTGGGCCGCTCCACTCGTTGGGCCGGGCCGGCGCAGCCGGGGGCGTCCCGGTGAAATGGCGCACACAGGCGCCGGGATCGGCCCCCTCAAGGGCGTAGGAGGGTACCGGTAGTTTTTAGTGGGTAGGACCGGTGCTGTTCCGCGCCGGGGAGTCCCACTCACGTCGCGCGTCTAGCCAGCGCGCGGTATGGTCCGAAAATGGATTTTCCACCGTAAACAAAAAAAAACTGGGGTACGTAGGCATAATAAGTAAGTCATCTTCGATGTGGTCACAGTACTAATTTTCAACACACGTCATCATCATCAGCCTATTAATGTCCCCACTGCTGGGGCACAGGCCTTCCCTGTGGATGGAATAGGGAGATTGGGCCATGACCCACCACGCGGGCCCAGCGCGGATTGGCGGGTGCTAACAACTGCAGATGCAGCCGGGACCAACGGCTCAACGTGCCTTCCGCACGCAGGAACTCGAAATAGAAGATTTTTGGTCACCCATCCAATGACCGACAACTGCGAAAGTTTGTTAACTTCAATTATCGCAGCCGAACGCGCTAACCAACTGCGCCATTGAGCTCCTCAATTTCATACATACTTCTACATTAATACAAGTATGTATACCAAACAACATTATGATTACACACTATATGGGTATGAGAACGTGCAAAACCACGTGATTAAAAATGATGCATCACGTAATGACCTAACATTACTCAGCTGGCATTGGGTAAATTAACTTAAGTGTAAGCGGTTAGCGTTAAAAACAGCAAAAGTATAAAATCAAGTAGCACATTACGTAGGTAAACCTAAGATTTACCAATAAAAGGTTTTTTACAGTTATATAACAACATACGATACACAGGTAGGAATGTGTATAGTTTTCGAAACTGGTTTTTCGGCCGAAACCGAAACCGAATATTCGGCCGTGGCTTCAGTTTCAGCCGAAACCGAAACTCACGTGGTCAAGATTATAATTCCTTAAAATACTGAAATTTGGTGCATTTTACCCATTATTCAGCATTAATTAGGACATGAAATGGAAACACAGTAAGTATATTAATTTTGTTGTAGGTAATCATTTATTAAATATAATATAAAAAATATTAATAATATTTTTTCAAATTAAGTTTCATAGCAAAATTTTTATCATTTATCGATAATCAATTCACAAATTGTTACTGTTTCAATAAATACCCATTGGTATTTTGAAATCTTTTAAATTGATTTGTATTTGTACTTGGAAGAATTATCAATCTCTTTTATCTCAACATAGGAAACTGCACTTCTCAATATAGGATATGGACTGCTGTGCAAGAAACGAAGTAAGGCGAGCGTGCACGACAACTTCCAAAATCAGTTTCAGTTTCGGCCAATTTTGGCCGAAACCGAAACCGAACTTTCCTGTCCTGCACAATTATAATAAATTAGCTTCCCGAGACCTTCACACGGTCCACCATGTGGGAAGCCTACCCAAGTAGCGGCGTCTGCTGAAGTCATTATAAGGAATTTAGTCCATTGGAATATCGTTATAACAACTTTATGAGAGCACAGAACTGGGCAACATTGTCATGAAACATTCTTTTCCTATGTTTGCTAGAGTACCTACTAGCTGACTTGTAGCTAGCCCCGTGTCATCGAGGCTTAAGGCACGTCAATAAAAAATGACGATATGAGTGATTAGAAAATTTTAGCTTTTTGGTTTAATGACTTATAGACATGGTATACCTTGCAATATTCCGATGCCCTTCTGCATATGGCCTTAATGTCGTCACTCGCGGGGTGCCACGGCTGCGGACCCTTATTAGATAAAAGCCCCATACCAGTGGCAGCTGCATTGATCACGGACACGCCCTTGCTCTGTGTAATAACCCTTGAACTTGTCAACAAACACAATAAAAAAATGTGTAGTTCTAGTTTGTGACACAACGATATTGAATACCCTAGATCGACCAAAATTGTGGCCGAAACATGTCCAAAAGGTACATTGAACGATCCACGGAGCGCGTAGTAGCACGTAGCTCAATAGTAAGAAGATCGCGTAGTCAAAAACAATATAAGCCATTATTTGAACATTTAAAGTCACCATTCATGTATATTAAATAAATAATAAATAAAAATAAGGTCTTTAATTTAAACGCAGGCGGTATGACAATTCGAAATGCAAGCTTGTAAAATTTTACGACTTGTTGCTATAGGCACAAGAACTACAGACAAGACTTTATTTCTATGACCCTATATCGTAATTCTGTATGCACTGTTAGCAATATAGCTGGTACGGAGCGAAAGGAAAAAACCGGCGATACAACCGACTATGCATTTGAATATCACAAATATTTTCTATTAAATCAGTTTATAGTAAGTATTAGAACAAAATTTGCTTCAAATGCGTTAAATTAACAAACATTGATTAGTCTGTCATCTGTCAAAAAAACGACACTCCTTTTTACGGAGCTCTGCAGCATGTTGGTTGACTTTACAACGGTCCGCGCGTCACTCAGAAGTGCTCGAGTCATTGTCAAGCACTTCTTGATTAAGACACATTTTGAGCGCACGTGGTGTATCTAGGGGTATTAAATATCGTTCATATAACACCACGACACAAGTGAAACTTAATAAAAAATGCTTCCTGGGCTGGGGATGGAACCCGGACTGCCCGCGTAGCAGGCGAGCTTCCTACCACTGAACCACCGCTTGTTGCGAAGTTCTGTATTTTTCAATAACAATTAATAATTGAATGCGAAATCCTAAAAATGAACGCAAAAATTTGCGATGAAATAAAAGTTTCATTTTATTAACGATGTAAAGCTCAACAAATAACTAAGGAATATAGTTTTTAGGTGTTCTGTAGCTGCAGCATTGTGCCCTTAAAGATTGGATGTATACATTGATTTTATAGAACTCGGCTTCGGCCTACGGCGAAGTGCATGAATGATTAAATACATAATGTACATTTTCCATGACCCGTTTGCTTTCTTATTGACATTCATAGATTATAGCTAAACAGGATTGTTGCTTAAGTGATTGTTTATTATGAGTCTCCGAGGTACAAGGTACATGGTAACAATCCCGTTAATAGCTATAATGTTAGTGACCATGAAAGTTTAAAACAAAATATTCATTGATTGCTCCTCATCAACTGCCGCATACTGTATTATTTATAATAATGCCACCATTTCAAAATTCGGCAAACTCGGTCAATATAACCTTATATCATAGAAATATTTTTAAATCTAAATAATATCGGTAAAAACCCAAAGTATCCATTCTGCTATCTGATACCATGTTTGACACTAGAATAAAAACAAGACCACCTCTCAGACCTTGCATTGGCAATGGCCGTGAATGACACTCTAGCTTGATTACAGCAGACATCCTGTGTAGGTTTACGTTACGTTTCATCAACCCATTAATACAATATCTGCTGTCTAAGTCTCGAATGCAATCGTCTTTATTTTGTACTAGAGGTTGCCCGCGACTTCGTCTGCGTAACTTAGTTTCTTTGTAAATCCCTCTGAAATCTAACATTTTTCCGGGATAAAAGTAGCCTATGTGTTAATCTAGGGTGTCAGCTAACTCCATACCAAATTTTATTAAAATCGCTCTAGCCGTTTAGACGTGAAGAAGTAAAAAACATACACACTCACATACTCACACACTCACAAACTTTCGCCTTTATAATATTAGTGTGATTATTACGAAACAGTTTTTTCTACAGGTTTTTCAACACTTATTTGCTTGGACCTAATACGGTAAGTACCAATCCTCTAGTGTTTTATAATATAACTCTAGGAAATACCCTGAAGAATACGTTTATGTGTGGGTATGAAGTCGGATAGGTCAGTATATATCTGTCTGTCCGAACAAGGAAAATTCACGATACAATTACAACTAATTGAACTAATATAAATTTACTTGAGCTTTGTTTAATAATAAATAACAATAAAGCAATGTATCAAACAGTCAATAAACTATCTGTTTTTAATTAATATCCGGTTCCATCTAATATATAAAATTCTCGTATCGCGGTGTTTGTGGTTAAACTCCTCCGAAACGGCTTTCAATGATTTTCTCGATTCTCATGAAATTTTGTGTGCATATTGGGTAGGTCTGAGAATCGGACAACATCTATTTTTCATCCCCCTAAATGTTAAGGGTAATCCACTCCTAATTTTTTTTTTCAATTTTAGATAATTTTTTTTATTTTTTTTTATGATACATTAAACAAAAATACATACAACCCTAAATTTTCACCCTTCTACCACCAGCCCTTATTTTTTTATGGCGGTACGAAGTTCGCTGGGACAGCTAATCTTATATAAAAAAATCTCGTGTCACAATGTTAGTTACTATACTCCTCCGAAACGGCTTGATCGATTTTTATGAAATTTTATATGCATATTCCATGGGTCTGAGAATCGGCTACTATCTATTTTTCATATCCTTAAGTGATAAGGGTTGTCCACCTGTAACTTAGTGTTCTGAAACCTATAATGCTCCTTCGCGCCAAAATTCAAACTATTGGGTATTGTATCATAGTGTTCTCATATGGGTTAGGAGGAATTTGATGGAACACTACGTTACACACCCCTAAAAAACTTTTTTTGGACAATGTTTATTTTTTATTATGTGGTTTTAAAAAATACATAGAACCCTAAATTTTCACTCTTCTACCACCTGCCCCAATTTTTATGGCGGTACGAAGTTCGCTGGGTCAGCTATTTTTTTTATATATTTGAATTCAGAAACTTGCTCCTATCTCCTTTTTTGCCTAACCAACAACGGCGCGGTACATACATACATTTTGTGATTCTTGGCAAAATACTCATAAAGGCATAAAAAAGGCACTTATCTTCTTATTCGATATGCCTTTTAGATATCCATTAAATACTCCCAATAAATACTCATTGATATAATTACCTGTGCATATTATCGACAACCGCTAAACATCATTATTACAAGCCAATATACCTAATACTATCTTTTTAACTACCATTCAATACAGCTGCGTACCTATGTATTTATCTAATTCCACAACCTCCGGATCTGGATCTTTCGATGATTAATCAATACTATCAATATTTTATTGATGTTTTCTAATATCTATTTTGATATTCGCAAACTGTTTCTTCAACATGCTCTTCGTCAGAACTCAACGTTCAAATCCAAATAGGTATAAACAGTTCTTTTCAAACCAAATTTTTAAGGAATCGTGACACAATCACGGCACCTACAGACTAGCTACTTTTTAGTAACGCGACTTCACAAGTGATAGATCAAAATAATTAAAAAATACGCACCTTAAAATATTTGGTGTAGTTCTGCAATCGGTTATCGAAAAGTGTCGACTTTGCATACGAGAGAACCGAAGAGATTTTTACGTCTGATTCCTCGATGATCTCTTTCATGAGATCAATGTCGTAATCCGCTAAGCCGATGTACCGGGCTTTTCCATCTCTCACTGCTTTTTCTAGAGCCGGCAAAGTTTCCTTTAATACTATTGACGTATCTGATGCAAAGGTAGCGTCATGGACCTTTAAAACAGAATTATCTTTGGTAAGAAATAGAGCAAATGCAGTCTTGTTATTCATATTATATCTTAACATAGAATATTTATGATTTTTCAAATTAAAATCCTTCGTTCGTTGTCGTAATATGCCTTGTATTGCACTTTTACGGTAACTTGGTAGAAAAAAGGACCGCAAAATAAGGCTTAACTGAACGGTAAAGTAAAGTGGATTCAATTAGATTCAATTGGTTGAATTTGACTTCCAGACCTGTATCAAATCAACATAATCCAAGTTGAGGAGACTTAGTGTATTGTCTACTGCAGCTTCAGTCTTTTCCGCCGTGAAGTCGAACATCTTTTCGGTCGCCAGTTCATATCGCCCGACCTTGCTGCCGATGAAAAATGACTCTCTTGGGACATTTTGCAACGCCTTTAATAAAAGTCAACATTAAAATTACATATTATATACTAAGCTACCACTACTTTGACAAAAACTTACAAAGTCGGAGTTGAAGATCTTTTTAGAGGTTAGTTGCATAGATATTTTTCTTTATTAGTTTAAAACAACAACTATTAATAAGGAAGTAACCGGAATATTATAGCTTCTGGAGATTGGTTAAATATTAAATCTGGTCATTAAGGTTTACCTGAAGAAGGAGCTACGCTTATTTTCGATTTTACAATGTCCTGACTCATGTATAAATAATGAAATTAATGCCAAGCAGATAAAAACAACGCTTTAATTACTTAAATAATATGTTTATTACGGCGATGTTGACCATGGTTTTCTCAAACGAAAAGCGGTGCTGAACGCAAATATCCGTTCTATCTGTTGCAGCATTCGTTGGATTACCCGCACAGCAAATTACTACGCGAGGGTGCTCTGCTCTCGAAGGGCGCTCTTCTAAAATTCTTTCCACACAGACCGATGAAGATTATATGCTCAGTACCGATCAGAGTCGAAAAAACTATTGCACATAGACCGGCAGGGAGAACACTTTCTTTTGTAGCCTTTTCGTTTCATACGTAAACTTCGGAAAAGTTAAGTTGTAAAAGAGATACAAAAGAGAATACTGTGTGAAGTTAACTTTGACATATTAAAATGTCTTTTCTTCTTAAAGTGCTTATCTGTATCTAATCAACTATTGTCATCCTTTTATCCATGTTACTATTAAATGGACTTAATCCATCCATTATCCATATTATGCGAAAACGTGTCTGTCTGTTATCTATTCACACTTAAACTACTGATCCGAATTAGAGGAAATTTAGTAAAGTAAAAGTGAGTCCTAGGAATGGGCATAGGATAGTTTTATCTCAGAAATCATCCTTTAGAGGAGTGAAGTTAGAATGGGAAACCAATTTTCTCATGCATGTGAAGTTGTGGGCACCTGCTGATTAGAAACAAAAACATGTCCTCCTTTTGCCTACTCTTTTATTTAATGCTATAACTTTGACTCACCTTTCCAATTGTTTTTTCTGAACTCCCCTGACCATACCATGGACCAGTCTCCAAATAATTTACTCCAAGTTTTAAACTTTCAGATATTAAATCCAAACTTCTTTTCTCATCAAATGTTCTGAAATTTAGTTGATTACTGAAGGTCATTAGATACATTTTATACCTTTATATATTGAAGGTAATTAGATAGATTTTCATTTTATACCTTTTTTAAAGAATTAATCAAAAAATTAACTAAGTATGTAATATATCTTGTGCTTGAGCTAATATTACACACATACATACTTGGAGACAAAATAAAGTCTCACCAGATGTTTTCATTGAATAGGGTTTTATATCATCATTAACAAATGGAAAAGTTATGTAACAATCTGATACTGATCCAGGTCACTAACATTTCGACAGCAGAAGCATATTCAAAATTAGAAGGTTCTATAGTTGAATACTTAACTGAATATAGTATTGAAAATGTAATGTAACACAATGTCTAAAGCACAAAGATATGCTTTATATATCTTGAAAGCAACTATTGACAACAAGGCAGAATGAAAATGTGAAATACAAGGATTCCCCAGGAGTGGCATGTTTACACTATGAATTGTTAAATTGGAGAATCAAAAATGTATTAATTGATATCGCAAAATAAACATTATGTTGTTGTCCATATCGCAGATCTCATTCAATAATGTGATTTTCTATTATTTTACAATAGGGTATTTGACAAGTTTTAGAAAACAATCTCACGTTATTTACTAATGTTTATGGAGTCCGTATAAAGATGGATATTCATCATTCTGTTGTTTATTTCAGTAAAAATAACCAAATCAAAAACTCCATTTACAAGTTGCCGCGAAAACGTTTCTCTGGACAATATGGTCTCACTGGCGTGTGACATCACACGACTGTTATTTAAACGTCAAATGATACAATGTAATGTCACTTTAACCGGAAGTTTACTTGCGTGTGACGGTAGGCTCTGCCAATCCCAAGCGCTTTAGGTCACAATAGATAAGAAAACTATCATCTGTTTTGTGGGTTTTTAGTCAAATTATGAATATTTTTTCTGTAGAAATAGTGAAAATCCCTGCCAATATTCATTCTAAATGCAGATGCTAACAATAGGCTAGTTGACCCTTTTTGGAAAAAGGTTTTAAATGGTTAATAAATGTTCTATTAGACCGAAAAAAAATGTATTGTATTTTTTTGAGACCTAGAAAGTTACAAATCTTTAATTTTAAAATAGACTTTTCATGGACATACAAAATCGCTGTCGGCCATTTTAGTCTATAGATTATCTATGCTATGACGTTGACGGTAGTAAACAAAAACTCGTAAGCACGTAGAAAATAACCTATCTGAGTTTATAATAATAAAATAAACATGATTTCTAATAGATACCACGCAAAATATAGTAATTATCATTATTGTATTGTACGAGAATGTAAAAACCTTGAAGACTCCAGGAAAGTTGTGCATTAAAGTGCCGAAAAAAATTAACCTACGCAATACCTGGTTAGAACTTGCTAAATGTGATCCTGCAACTTTATCGACTCATAGTAAAATTTATTTTTGCGAAGATCACTTTGATGTAAGTACTCATTGAATAATATTTTAAGTCTCTTCATTTATTATCAGTTTTAATAATACAAGTTTTAAAGTTATGTATGAATGACATTTAGTTGTTTACTAAAAGAGACGTCACAATCATGGCGGATGTGGCGAACAGCGTTTTTAGTGTTTAAAATATATAGACTAAAAATATTTTTTTTAAATTAAATTTCTACGGCAATCTTCTGCTTTTATGAAGTGAAATCGATATATTTAGGTTCCTTAGACCAAATACTTTAAGAAATAAATATTTATTCAATACAATTCGACATGAGTCGACTAGCCTATTGGTATTTTATTTTTAATACTGTCAAATACCCTATTCAGTTTGTCTTCCCTGTACTTATTGACTTATTATTATACAAAATAGTTTTTTTTAATATACCAAAAATCTTAAACACATATTATTATATTGGTAACAAATTTATTGTGAAATAGAGGCGTAAGTACCAAAACTACTATTTATTTAATCCCTAATAGGTTTTACTTCATACCAAACTTTTATGCTTTTCCTTAGTTCTATCTACATTCAAATTGGTAAGCGAGAACAAAATATAATTATATAGTTTTTGTGTGTCCTGTAAAGATGTGTTTATACATTTAGACCCCTATTGCATGAGACCCACAATATCAATACCAGAGCCATCCCTATATACATATTTTGCGTTAAGTTTTTGATCTGAATGATTGTTCTCAACTGGATTAATTTGAAATTAACATGTGACTAAAACTGCTAACTTTTCAATAAATTCATTGAAGATAATACTAAAAAAGTTCTTCGACATTGACTTCAGTTTTTTTTTTATTTTTAGTAGCTGTGAAAATTGGATCACAGCACCCTTCTGAAATAGGTGTATACAGCAACTACAACAAACAAGTGCAATTCTCATACAGCTATTTGGGGTTAACATTTTAAGTACAAAAGTCAATATAATAAAAAAGGGAACCTACCCTAAAATATTATTGTTTCAAATAAATCCTCACAAAGTATTGAATTACCTTTCTTTCATCATCATCATCAGCCTATTAATGTCCCCACTGCTGGGGCACAGGCCTTCCCTATGGATGGAATAGGGAGATCGGGCCATGACCCACCACGCTGGCCCAGTGCGGATTGGTGGGTGCTAACGACTGCATATGCAGCCGGGACCAATGGCTTACGTGCCTTCTGAAGCACGGAGGGGCTCGACCCCTCAGGCAATAGTAAAAAGGGATAGTAAATTTTTGGTCACCCATCCAATGACCGACCACTGCGAAAGTTGCTTAACTTCAACGATCGCAGCCGAACGCGCTAACTACTTGCGCCATCGAGCTCCTCGAAGTATTGAATTACCTTTCTTTAATTTCTAAAATTCATACCAAATAAAAAACTATTGTATATGATTGGCAACTTTGTTTTTATAGGTGATAAGCTATTATTTTCCAGAATAATTACCCGTAAATGTTGCTAAATGCTGCTCCTCCCAAACTGATATGGGATACGTTTAATCCCGTCGTACCGAGCTCGTTATATCTCATAATGATGATTTATTCCAAAAATAATGGACAAACAAACGCGAAAGAACTAACAAAGAGAGTTGACGCAAGACTAACACAATAGCAAAACTACAACACGAGTCACGAGCACGACTTTGACTGGAGTTAGCAGATAGAACATTCGACGCTGCAGTAAAGGCTAGTAAAAAGGACTTATCCACGAATTATCGTGAGTGATAACCTGTCCGTATCAGTCAATCAGAACTTTTCTGTAAGTGTCTACATAACTATAGTCTATTCACATTGACGTGAGACAAAATGTAAACAAACCATAAAAAGGATACTTTTGAAGGTCACTTTTGACAAAAGTAAAGATTAAATACTATTTACATAGGAAATGCAGTGAAACATTTGGTTAATTTTTTTAAAAGCTGGTACATACATTTGAATGAGAAAATAAAATATTTTACATACATATATTTATTATACATACACATCATAAATTAGTATATTTTTATATTGCTGATAAAATATTTTAACAACATTGTTGACATGGAAAAAGACCTAAAAACACAATCATTCCCAAACTAAACGTATTATAATACGACAAAATTTAAGAGTAGACATGATATAAGTATTTTACCTTGAAATGTTGTATTTTATAATCGGTTGGTTTTTTACGTCAGCCATTCAGTCAGTCTCAGGCCAAAGTGTTATAGTGTCAAGTATCTCCCATTTTAATTATAAGCTCAGCAATAGTTTTCTTTCGTTATTATTGTGCCTAGATAATAGTTAAATAAACAGCAATAGCAAGAAAATGCTTCCAAGTAAACAAACAAAGTGTTCGGAAATTCTTTTTTTATACATATTTCTGTAATACCTGCAGTTCATATTTATAAACTTGACAACAGTCTGTCCTTAACATACTTAAAAGGAATGAATAGGACAGACTAGGGACACGAAAAAAGTATCGATACTTTGTGGTATCGAGTACTTTTCCTTTCGATACCGATACTTTTGTACTCGATACTTTGTATTCGATACTTTTACTAAATGAGTACTTTTTGGCAAGTATCGATACCTTTAAAAATTTGGATAAGCGCCTCACATTGATGGCAACGCCATCTTGTTAAATCATAGCAAACCTTTTAAAACGTTCCATAGGGTATTTGACAAGTTTTAGGCAACGATCTCACGTTATTGACTAATGTTTATGGAGTCCGTTAAAAGTGGATATTCATCATTCTGTCTGTTAGTCCAGGCAACGAAAAGGTATAGAGGGAAATGCTTAGAACACAATTTTTGACTTCGTTACTTTGTTAGGACTAGTTAGAAGGTAAACATATCAAAAGTCCCCGCCCGTAGCCCTTAAGCCGGGGGGAAGGGGGGGGGGGGGACTGAAGGTCCCATTTTTAGGGTTTTCGCATATATCTCGGAAACTATGCATCCTAGCGACATGAGACTTTGACAAAAGTGAAAGCTGATTAAATTTGCTACAAGTACTATTCAGTCAAGTTTTTTGATATCTTGTATAGTTTTCGAGATATCCGCTCTTAAGTCTGTAATTATGGGAAAAAAAATTTGCTTCACATTTTTGCTCAATTTGACCGGATAACTCTTCAACAATGCCGGCCGTAAGGTTGTTGGTTCCACCAGTGAGCAGCATGCAGATTTCGGACAAGCCCGCCAAAACAAGGATGGAACTGACATTGCCAAGCTCACCGATTGGTTTGAGAAATTTCCTCCCTTCCCAGAGACCAGAGACATTATCAAGTCACCAGAAATCCAGAAAGCAGCTGCGGTCTTTTCACACCACCGCTCAAGTACAAAAGGCAGGTGAATACTTCATCTTAAGGTGGTATGGAGCTCCAGCGAAAGAGATTTCTCTCAATGCCTACAGGTACAAGTCATTCTTGAAATCAGTGGCCACCATCACAGTAAAACAGTTTTCCCAAGAAGTGGTGGCATTTTTTTTCCATAATTACAGACTTTCTCGAAAACTATACAAGATATCAAAAAACTTGACTGAATAAGACTTGTAGCAAATTTAATCAGCTTTCACTTTTGTCAAAGTTTCATGTCGCTAGGATGCATAGTTTCCGACATATATGCGAAAAACCTAAAAATGGGACTTTCAACCCCCCCCCCCCCCCTTCTCCCCGGCTTAAGGGCTACGAGCGGGGACTTTTGATATGTTTACCTCCTATAGTCTATTCACTTTGGCCCAAGACAAAATGTAAACAAAGAATCTGAGGGTCTAAAACTTTTTTAATGTCAGAAAGTAACCTACTAGTCAATGATCAGGTCCAGCTTCACCACTCATTAATATAGCCACGAAAACGTCAATTCAACAAGAAAACAATGACAGACCACTTTAAACTTAACAGTAAAAAAATAACAAAAATAAAACAAGTAAATAACAAGATTTTAACAATTATGATAGACTTTGCACGCTGAGTCAACAGGTTGATCGAGAGATTATATATGGCTGACGTAAAAAACCAACCGATTATAAAATACAACATTTCAACGTAAAATACTTGTTATTATTACTAACATAACATAACTTATGTTAACTTGAATCTGACACACAGTTAACGACGACGGGTTTAGTGGGTATAATGTTTTTTAATGATTAAAATTCAAGAAAAGTATGTTTAATTTGAAACAAATCTGAAAAGTTTGATACTTTTAAATTGTTTAAGATTTCGATCTTTTTAATTAACATTTTAATTATGAATGTAATATTAATGAACACTTTTTTAGTGTCAGAAATCACAGCTATTTTATTTTCATTATATAATATAGCAATATGTGAATTAACATGTCCTTTTTTTGTTTTTGATTATACGTACTATAATATAATTCGATTGTTTTTTTTTTCAATTTTAACAATCGGGGGGGGGGGGGGGGGGGCGGGTTTGCTCATCAGGCCACAGAGGCTCCGATAAGGCCCTATGAAATGTACTCGATACTTTGAAGTATCGATACTTTTGTTTCGATACTTTTACGAGTACGATACTTTTTTACCGATACTACTCATGAGTACAGTATCGATACTTTCTATTCGATATCGTGTCCCTAGGACAGACTAATACTAAGTTTATTAAAGCAGGCTACTGTCAACCCTGCCGCAGGCCCAATCTAGGCCGCACGGCGGAGGTCGAGGACAATATCGGCTCACATCACATGCCTGCTATTCAGTGTTCGAGTATATGTTGAGCTAAACATGCGTTGATAATGGTCACAGCAGTATTAAGAAAAGATCGGTAGGTAACTTTGCTCTAAGGTAGGTAGGGGTATATTTCTATAGTGTTAGCGCAAAAAAGGATATACTGGGAGAAGAATTGGCAATAGAAAGAAATGTATTGTAAATAATTAATGTTTGTGTATTTTTATCCCACATGTGAAGCCGGTATTTATATCTCTTATCTATTAGACAAGTCCGTCCGTCTGTCTGTCTGTGGTGCTGTTTCGGCGGCCAAACCGTAAGAGATAGATAAAGAGAATGTTTAAGTTCTAAGTTAAGAATAGTCTGATAAGACTACAAACCGGATTTGAGTAACGTAGCACTTCCGGTTTTCGAGAAATCACGAATTTCAAACGAAACCACACAAAATCTCCGAAGTTCTCAATTAATTAAATACATTTTTTTTTTAATCAGGTTATGGTAAACATTTGTTTCACTGGTTTGCTAGTCTCTTATCTATTAGACAAGTCCGTCCGTCTGTCTGTGGTGCTGTTGCAGCGGCCAAACCGTAAGAGATAGATAAAGAGAATATTTAAGTTATAAGTTAAGAATAGTGATAAGACTACAAACCGGATTTGAGTAACGTAGCACTTCCGGTTTTCGAGAAATCAGGTTTTGGTGAACATTTGGTTCACTGGTTTGCTAGTACTTCTATAATTCGAGACCAAACTTCATGCTCATTATGGTCTGCCACCATCTTGATCAAAATACTTGCGCTCCGTGTGACAGCTACCGACCAACTGATAGAAAAATTGCCCCGATCGCACTACCCACACGGCAGCGTGCAGGGCGGCAGGGACAATCTAGGAACCAAGGGTGGTCTCGCGCCCCTGCCGCTCTGCTGCAGGGCCAATTTAGAATTTTTTCTTCTGCTTGCCTACAGACAAAACAATTAAGCTTAGAGCATTGGTATATATTTATGCTCCTAAGCCATTAGGGGCATCTCCACTCTTACACCCTAGATTGCCCCTGTGGCAGGGATGTCAGTAGCTCGATTAACCAATGACTAAAGAAGTAAAAGGACAGGAAATACCTACAAAAAAAACGTGCATACCTAACTCATGGATTTGTAACAAAAAATGGCTGCCATTGCCTAGGGCTGCCAATACCACACTATTCAATATTATTCGTCAGTGTGCCTCTCCGGCCGGCAGTATTTGAATTACCTGTGAGTGCGGCACCCACAAGCATAAGTCCACTAGTCAGCTAAATACATTATATTAATAACTAGCTATAACCCGCGACTTCGTTTGCAAGATAACTAAGATGTTTTGTGTTTAAATGAGAGACTGCCCTTCCTAATTTTACGGCTATCCACATAATATAGATATCTAATCCAATGAAATCAGTTCATCTTTATTAAGATAATGTTTATTTTCTTGATAACATTAAAATATGAAACATTTACCAAAGAAACATTATTTAAAAGAACAAAATAATAGAACGATTACAATTTTTGTAATCAGCGACATAGTCCAACTCCATGTGGTTTTCCCATATATAATTTTCACCCCTTTAGGGGTTGAATATAAAGTCCCGTCTTAGTGAGCGTCTACGTCCTAAATACAAAACCCCTGTGCAAAATTTCAGACTCCTAGAGATTGTAGTTTCTGAGAACGACAACCATGTAGATTTTAATATTTTCAGATAGGATGGTAAGGGTAAGATGAAAATAAAATGTTATTTTTTACAATCTAGATGTTTTTATTCATTTCTAAACAGTATTAATTTGTTTAAAAATTGTCTATTTGATAGATTTGCACATTTCATTTGACCATAATATTTAAATCTTATATCAAGAAAGATCTTAATTATGCTCTTAATCAAAAGTAACTTATGGTCGGCACAGTGGTCAGAATCAGTATCAGCGGAAAAATACTTTTTAAAATCATACATTTCACATAAAAATTTGAAAATATATAAATAATATATTTCTGGATTCGCTTTCTCTTTCAAATGGATTTTTATCAATTTTTCTGTGTTTTTGATTATTTCGATTACGCTACATGAAGCATATATAAGACCTCCTCTTGATTTTTTGTAAATTAAGCTTTCCGTATTTTCTTCTCCTAACAATAGTAATGTGCAAGCATCGCATTTAATATTTTTCAATAACTTTTTGGTTACAAATCCTGATATATATTCTAATACATAATCTGTATATATATCATTGGAAGTCAAAATGCTCTCAATATATCTCTCATATAAATCACTGTGGTCTTCGGTAATTTCAGCAAAACTTTTTTTTTTGTTAGTTCATTTAATGCTGAGATAGGGTTTTTGCTTGAACATGTCAAAATAGTGACTTGCTCTAGCGGGATACAATTTCCTACTCCATCATCCCGAATCTCAGCTCGTACTAGCAATTTTTTGTATGCTGCACGGAACTGCACTGCATTAGGGTTATTGTTAAACCCCCCTCTAGCTCTCACAGCTGAAAAGAAGAGCTCAATGTGGTCCTGACTCAATTTATAGAGCGGAATATATTTAAGAATTTTTGTGTCTTCTACCAAATAGTTATACAATTTCAACGCACTATTCATATTTATTAGCATGGCAATGAAGCCTGTCTTCCTACGGGAATGAATGAGTAATTCTCCTGATGGTAATTTTAAGTTTTTCAAATATTCATTAGCACCTTCAAATAAAGCCTTTATAAATCCAATATTGGAAGGGCACATTGCTTTTTTAAATCCAGGTGGTCGGATGGAATGACTATTCAGTATGTCGAAAAGGTCATTCATAATATTTATAAAATTAACTGTCCCTTCACAATTTTCGAATTCTTTTAATTTTAAATTCGTACGACAGAAGTCAATAGCATCAGCTACAGAGCTACTAAAGAGTTGGGTGGCCAGTTTAACTTTCATCTTCTGCTTTTGAAAGAATATATGTTGCTTTTTTATTTTATTTGCTAAATATAAGCCCTTTTCTTCTTGCAGTTTCAGCAACTCTTCTACATATTTAAAATCCACTCTTCTGCCATGAAAATCTATGAATGTTTTTAATTCCCCAAATGCATTCCTTATCAATTTTAGTGCATGACAAGGGTCAATAAAAGCATGGATAAGAGTATTACCCCTCTCAAAATTTGTTTCTTTCTGGTTTTTTAATACGTCACAGCCAAGGGATGCAAACATGCTGAAGTTTGCTGCAGGGCCATCACATGTTATACTGACCACCTTCACACCTACATCTTCACACAGTTTGAGAGCAGTCTCAACGATAACACCTTTTTGCTCCCCTGTCAAGGATGTTATTAAAAATAACCAATGGGTATTTTCCAGGAGCTATTTATACATGTCAGCATGAGTACTAGAGCTTGACTGGCTTCATCAACGCTGTCACTATCAATATTCAGTCCATAATCAACCCTGCCATAATATTTTTGTATTTTTGGATCCCAAATCAGTGACTTTCGTATGGACATCTCATCAAAAACTAAGGAGCATATAACAGGATATTCACTCTCCTGTACCTTTATCTTTAAGGTATCAAATGCTTCTTTAGTAAAACCTGCTTCAGCATTCACATGTTGATACCATTTACACAATGTTCTGGCATGAGGTAAGCAAGTATTATATTTCTGCCTTACATAATTGTATGCTTTTGGGGATAAAAAATGTAAAGTTAATGCAAATTTTCTTATATCTTCTGAGTATTTATTTGGCAGAGGTAACCCTTTCGTCTTCATAAGTTGTCTTTTTAAAAAGTCCTGGGGTCCTGCCAAATCTTCGATCAAAATAGCCTGTTCCATGTTAATTCGACTTTTTTGTCGAAGATCCTCAATAACATCTTTCAAAGTGGCAATTTTCTTCTCTTTACGTCTAAGTTTTTCATTCAGGCATTTTATTTTCTTCTGCTGCTTTAAACATTTATCTTTCAGAGTCTTAATTTTTTTACATTTAGCGACCTGAAATTACAAAAATATTCAATGTTAATAAATAAATTAACTTAACTATTTTATTTATATTGGAATCTACATTAAACACAAGAAAATTCATTACAGATTTTTTAGTTTTTGTTATTATTTAGTTTTATCAGTAGGCTGGCAGAATCACTTCCTGTATATTAAATTATTATGTATATTTTGATTTACTATTACGTATATTTTTCTGCCTACCACTTTTAAGAAAATAATTTCAAATAAATAAAAAAAAAGTTTTATTTACATACCTCTACATTCACTTCTTCTTGTAATGGTAATGGGAACGAAAAAGAAGCAGCAGATGTGCTAGCAACAGCAGTCTTAACATTGCTTGTTTCACATAGAACAGATGTGTCTTGTATGGCTGTTCGCTGAAAAGAAAATACAACACACAAATTATTTTTTACAACGATCCTATTTTCCCGATTATTTGAAGAGTAGGTACCACCTCTACCTTTAAGTTTTTACTTAAATAGTTGGAACTACTAGACTATTACCTGTGTGTGATTAGGCTAAAAATATGATGGTCATTTATTGGCATATGTTTTATAAAGGATATACTGTACTTCCAGGGCCCAAAAGTAAAAACTTCAGTTTTGTTGACTGTAATTTCGCATTTTTGTTGTTAAAAAGGTTTCTGTTAACCACATTATTTAAAAAAATGTCACACTTATGCACTGGTAGTTTTTTAGAAAAAAATATTGAAAATTTTTACTTTTCTTATCAAGTGGTGATACTTCACACTAGGTTAGGTTAGGTTAGTGTTGTGACCATAACGCGCGAGCCGAGCGAGCAAAGCGAGCGTGCCGCGGCAGCGGCCGGCGAAGCGCCAGAAAAAAAAACTGTTAAAAAGACCTTTTCTACAAAAAAAAACAAGTATCACCTTTTGGGCCCTGGAAGTACAGTTTTACCTTTATAAATAAGACTTACTGGATATGGAAAAATTGTTGGCAGTGAGTTTTCACGAAGACGTATTACATTAAGTGTTTTATTAAAACAGCTATCCTTAAAATGCAGTGAGCAGAGGTGCCAATTTTTTTGCCGAGGATTAATATTTTCTTTGCCTATAGCCTCTAACCATTTTTCCTTTAAAGCTTCATTCTTCGGAAATCTAAAAATAAAATAAACATTAATTATTTTGATACGACACAACCCTATTCAGGTTAGTAAACTAAAGATAAATAAATATTGTAAATAATGTCTGTATCACATAAATATGACCCTATATCAACATTTGTAACAGTAATACAAGATTGCGTTATGTTTTTCTTTTCAATCTGAATGATTGAAGAGTTATTTTGTTAAGAAACGGGATACTAACCTATGAAGCGTCAATTGAGGTTGATTTTTGTTTTTTCTTGCACTACACATCACAATACAACATTTAGGCATTTTTAGAACCAGTTTTTCCACACTACCACGTATTTATGCTCAAATTTTCTCGTAATAAAGCCGTATATCTCAATATTTCCAAATTGTAAACACACTGATGACAGAACAACTACCACAAAACTCGTTCCCTAAAATGGCGAAATTGGCACGTGCCTAAACTTTTGACAGATTTCTATGATATTTTAGCATTGAGTGGAATATGTCTGTCTCTTTCGTCAAACACAATACTACTGTGGGAAGAACGAGATAAAGATATATTTCACGCTTTATGTATATAAATGCCTCGTATTTATATAAGTAGATTTTCTATATGTTGACAAGAGCTTCTCCATAGACTTTGTTACTCTGAGCGATTAACAGCAAACACGATAACCATGTTTGTGAAGTGCCGACAAAAACTTTGTCATATTTTGTTTTTTTCTACTTTATTTATACGACGGCGAAGGATATTAAATCCATACAGCTTTATTACATACAGCGTTATTTTTTTTTAATTACATCAAGGGTGTGTGAGTTATGCATTGTAATGCTAGCATTACACATGACTATTCGTATTTGCCTTTTGGTGATTTCTGACTAATAATACCATGTGTTGCTGACATTGATAGCTATTCGTGTTTGCTGATTGTCATTTTATGAAATGAAATGAAATATATTTTATTGGAGCAAAAACAGAGAATACAATAAATGTGTACGATAATAATTGCATTAGTTATAAAAACTGTGTCGCAACTATTATCGCCCACCTCTGAGAGTACATTGGAGTTCCTTACATATAACAAAGTAACAATAAATATTATGAATGATTTAAATTTAATTTAATGTACTTAAATTAACAAATCATTTAAATGCATTTTATGCGTGTGCCCATGGGTATGTGTGTGTGTATGTGTGTGTGTGTGTGTGAGAGAGAAAGAGTGTGAGTGTGATTGTGTGTGATTGTAGGTGTGCAGCTTATGGAATAAGCTGAGGTTATCCTCCGTTACTATCTATTCAGAAAGTCTTCTATCTGCTCATATGTAAGCGTATATAGCCAATTGTCAACCAAAGCTTTACATTCTCTTGAAGAAAGCCTGTAAATGTCAAGAACTCTATTTACCTTGTTATACAATTTTGGGCTCAGGAATCTATACTGTCGACTCACCACACCAAGGCTGCAGGTCTCTAACTTGCACACTATCAGACCGACGTACTTGTTTTGTCAGGTTAGGGTCATACACCAGGGTAGCATGTTTACGCAGCACAGTATTTAACACAAAAGAGTGTCTAACCCTTGGTAAATTACAAATAGCGTACAAAGTATTTGTCGGGAAATAAAGGGGCTTACGAGACATAACTTTTAGTACAGCTCTTTGAGCTCTTTCCAATCGAAGAAAGAAACTCTTACCAGCATTGCCCCAAGCGGTAATGCAGTATGTTAAAATAGAGTGTACTAAGGCAAAAAAGACGACCTTTAGTATACTGAAATCGGCGGAAGCTCGTAAATTTCTGAACACAAAAATTAGTTTTCTAACCATTGAGACGAGGGAATCGACCTGATTGTTCCAAGACAAAGTGCTATCTATTAACACGCCAAGGTATTTTATATTATGTGTTCTAGTAATATTAGGACAGTCACAGACATAGTCCATTGTCCTGTTACATCTGTGTGCAATCAATTCAAAGGAGGAATCCGGCCGGGATGCAACTCTGGGAGCAAAAGTAATATATTTAGTTTTCTGGGTGTTAAGGGTAAGCAAATTTGAATTTAGCCACTTCAGAACTATGTTCAGAGCAGCTTCCGCGCATGAACGCGCTTCCATCCAGCTGGTACCATGAGCTATAATAGCAGTATCGTCTGCATAGGTGATAATTTTGGAGTTGTTTAATGACATCATACATAGGTCGTTAATGTACACCAAAAACAGCGTCGGCCCGAGGACACTACCCTGTGGAACGCCGTAAGTGAGTGATACCTCTTTACTAATAAAGTTGTCAATCTTGACAACTTGGGAACGTTCGCTTAGGTAGCTGATAAAAATATCAAATGCCAGACCCCTGACCCCTACTCTTTCTAACTTATTTAGCAGGATTGGAACAGAAACGGTGTCAAATGCTTTTGACATGTCGAGAAAGATGGCTACAGTTTTTAATTTCTTATTCAAATTTAACGCCACGTGGTTACTCAACTCGAGCACCGCATCTTCAGTGCTTCTACCAGACCTAAAACCAAATTGATTTGCAGCCAAGATGTTGTGTGCATTAAGAAAAGTGACGAGTCTCTTATTTATAATTTTTTCCAGCAATTTGGACAAAATAGTAAGTACGGATATAGGCCTAAAATTATTTACAGTGATATCCCCTCCCTTGTGTATCGGATGTACGAGTGCTTTTTTGAAGACAGTAGGAAATTTACCGGATAAGAGGCAGAGATTAAAAACATGACAAATAATAGGCAACAAAATGTGTCGAGCGGCTCTGATAAGTCCAGGTGAAATACCGTCCCAACCAATGGCGCTATCCAGCTTAAGCTCGAGTATCAGTCGGTCAATCTCCTGATTATCCGTAGTAAAAACAGCCATAGAATCGTATGCTGGATTTAATAAAGAATGTTGAAAGGTAGTTTCATTACGACTTGCCTCAATTTTTTATGCCAGATCTTTACCAACATTCGCAAAAAATGTATTTACTATGTCTACAGAGCGTGATGGATTTTCATTGATAAGTAAAAGTTTAGAAGTATTTCAAGATTTAACATTTAAATTTGTGATTTTTTTAATAAGTTTCCAGGTAGCTTTTGGATTTTTACTGTGCTTATTAAATTCGGTTCTTTCATACTCCCGTTTAATCTTTTTAAGTAAATTGTTGCAAAAAATTCTGTAGCGTTTGTAAGTGATGAGATGAAGTTCGTTATATGGGTTCTTTTTAGCTTTTTGATAAAGTTTATCCCGATTTCTTATACAACGTAGTAGCCCTGAGGTTACCCAGGGCTTGAAAATCCTATTACTACTTGTAGCTTTTGAAGTATAAGTATTTTTTTCTATCACATCAGATAATATATTGACTAATGAATTAGCTGCTTCCGTGGCATCATTAGAGTCAAGTACTGGTGAAAAATCTGTTTTTTCAATAGTCACTACACAAGCCGAGATATCGGTGCGCGAGACAACCTTTGGATCCCTCGAAGCTTCAAACTTGACATTACAAAAAATTAACATTGGAGCATGGTCAGTGATAAATGAATCCAGTACAAGAGTAATGGCTGGTTTATTTGATTTGATGATTGCATGATCCAAACAGTTATTACCGCGCGTTGGCAGAAGATGACCCGGTAGCATGGCATGAGTTGCAAGTGTATCAAGATATGTATCACAGCTAGGATCCACACTATTAAATGAAATATCTATATTAAAATCTCCAGTAATGACAATAGATTGAAATTCTTTTAGAGAATTTAGGGTAAGATCGAGGCTGTTAATGAATCTATCTCTATTTCGAAACGAAGGAGGACGGTAGATTGCTAAAAGCGCAAGCTCATTATGAAATTTGAGAAGAATACAGTTGGCATCAGTAACATCCGGGATTTCCACTGTAAACCTTAAATTTTGTCTAACATATACCACAACTCCATCATTTTGGTTGGTGGACTCCGACTTGAAAAAATCGAAATCAGGAATGTTTGGGATAAAGGGACATTTGCTTAGCCAGCATTCAGACAACACAATAACGTCTGTTTGAACTTTGACTCGACCTAATAATATAAGAAGATTATTGAAATTAATAGGACTGCCGATACTTCTAATATTCATATGAAAGATTTTAAATGCTTCAGTTGTATTGTGTAAGTATGAAGCACATTGTTCAGGAAGACAAAAGAATGATTTAGAGACACAAAATTCATCAATATCGTCAACAAGGATTGAATTATTATTCATATTGAAAATTATTAATAGTCATTTGGTCCAAATAAAGGGATCGGAAAATATTCAATAATGGATTATTAATATGAAAAACAAGGTAACAGACAATAACAGTAGATTTTTTTACGATTTTTTTTTCTAAACTGTGCGTGTGTTTGTGTGATGATAAATTCGTGTTAATATGTGTGTGTGAAAATGAACTTAGTATAAAATTTATAGAATGAGTAAAAATGTGCAGTATAAAGTGTGTGTATAAATTTTGTGTGTTTAACAATTCGCAATAATAATTAATTATTATTCTTTTATTGAAGAAAATTACAAAATTAAGATAAAAAGGTAATAACAATATGCCGAAAGAACTTAACCTTTTTAGAGCCTAGTCATTCATTCTCTTTAATTTTGTCCAGGTCTAACTCTGAGACAACACGAAAGTGAGAAGTGCCTTCTTTTTTACAAAGATATATATTTCCATTCGTTGACCAGCAGTAACTATAGTCATTGGCCTTTGCAAACTCTCGTGCCATGTAAAACAAACGTTTTTGTTTTGGAGTCAGAGAGTCACCAATATATACCTTTTTTGGAGAACCACTTATTTGTAGGTGCTCCGTGTTAAAGTTATCAGCTCCCCTCACCCTATTAAATTTTTTGATGGAATCAATCAGGTTGTTTTTGAGTGCGACCGTAGTTAGCTCTAAGATAATAGGTTTTTTGTCGTCTGATTTAGTATTTATTCGATATATATCTTTTATATCTCTGAGCTCGATCGTAACATTTAATTTTTGACCAATTTTCTCAACCAATGACGATAACGACTTTTTTGTCTCACTTGGCATTTTGGGAATATTTCTAATCTCGACATAGGTCGATCGAATGTTGTCCATCATACTGTGTAGGCGAAAAAAAGGAGGAACTGCTGCCTAGTAGACAAATAGCAAATAAGAATAGTCACGTGAAGTGCCAGCATTAGAACCCAATGGTACAATCTTAAGGTTTTGTTAACGGACATAACAGAGTTTTTGGCAGGATTTCATTGAGTGCGGTTGGAGTCTTAATTTAATTGTTCTTTAATTCGTTTATAGTGAATAGTATGAAATAATATTAAATAAAACTAGTTTTTACGGGTTAATGCACGAAACTTTATTTATTTATTGACG